CATGAAATGGTCTGATGACTTCTTCAGATTTTTTGTCCAATATTTCAAATACAAGCAATTCACCTGGAAGAGCCATAAGGCCTGATTTTATCCTAGATTAAATCACCTTCCTTGGCTTTGTCTGGGCAATTTGGTGTAAAAACACAACTTAGCCACTATGAATCAGGCATACATAGTACTTATTTAAAAACTATATTAATATTTGGTGTTGTTTAGGGTTGGTTTGTTTTTACTTAACACTGCCCACGGTTTCCCAAGAATTCTGAAAGATTTTCCCCATGAAATGAGTGCTGCAGTTATCACTGGAGGAACAATAGGAGCAAATGCACAGATTTCTCGGGGAACTTAAAAGTGATTGATTTCAGGCAACTTGAATCATTAAGATCTTCCAGTATAGCCAGCACTATAGCTTGTGATTATAGTGATTTTCTGTGTATATAATGCTCACCCTGGTGGAGAAGAGAGATGGAAACCAAAACCCACACCAGTATTCAGTACCCTCAACCAGGGATATCACATGAGGACGAAATTTTTTCTGTCTACTCGTCATATAAAGTCCTGAAAAATGTGAAGTACAAGCAGTCCATTTGGTATCTCTATCACATATTGGCAATTACCCAAATGTCAGAGTGATTTGAAAAAGAAATAAAAGAAGAAGCAGCCAACCATGAGGAGTTTTTTCCTCAGTGACAAAGGACAATGAAAACAACAATAGCCCTAATAACTAGGAAATACAAAGTAGTTCAGATAAGAATATCTTATTTTCCAGATCCAAACATTCAATATCAAAGATGCCAAAACTTAAATGATCTACATCATTTCCAGGTAGGCCTCCTGGGGACCATATTCATGTGTTTAAGTAACTTAATTCTCCTCTGGATGTCTGCTTTATCTGGTGAAAAAAAATGAAGAAATTTTATTGAGAGCAGCAAGTGTGCTACATAAGGAGTTTGACTGGCTGAAACTATACTGATGATATATTTTTGCACAGATGGTATTTCTACCACGAGGTCTGCTGTGGAAGGTCTGCATAAGAAAGGTTTGTCTGTAAGCAAAATAAGACAAAAATGCTTTATAGACAGTCTCGTTTATCTTCCAGAGAGCTAAATTCCTCTGAAAGAATATATTTAAGTCCAGACAAAATGAATAACCAACTCCACAAGTGGTTGTAAGTTTCTACAGGTGTTTGTAGGGGAAAAAAAGAAAAAAGAAAGAAAACAACCTGAAGGACAGAGCAGTGATATTTTTCTTACCACAATTTCATCTCACTTGTTTTAAGTAAAAAATAAATTATTTCATTCTGTGAAATTCCCTGTACGTACAGCAATACTGATCACAGATCACATTCATATCTGGATCAGTACTGCTTCATACGAGTGATTAAAAGACTGTTACTAAAATCTCAAGGAGAATAAGACCTGATTAAAAAAAGTAAAAACCAATTCAGTTTAAGAAATACTTAAAAAAAAAAATGTTTTACAATCTGTAGCACTAATATTTTTGTTTCTAAAAGTAGGAAACTCAGGCATAGTGGTACACTTAGCACATGTAAAGCCAATACTTTAGCTGCAGAAAACAGGAAAACACATTAGCAAAGCCAGTATATCAAACAACTAAAAGCACTATTTACATAACTATTCCCTCCACATTCTAAAGACAACGAATAGCAATTAGATATCATTTCTGCTAGTGTGTGGAACCTGATATGGAATTTATGATTTTAAGACTCAGCTGCTGAAGCGCTATAAATCCAGATCCTTCTGAAAACAAGGAGACCAGTAACATAGTGAATACATGAAAGTGAAAAGGAAAAGCAGGGTATGCAGGAAAAACAGACAGGAAAAAAAAAATCTGATGACATCTAATCACATTATCTTATCATAAATTAATTCCTGGCAAAATGTAATTGCTTAATTCCTTGTATTTCAATCAATCTTTTCTATTTCTTATATATATATATAAGAAATTATATATATATATAAATTATTATATATATATAATTTCTTTATATATATAGAATTTTTTTAAATTAAAATAGAATTATCCTGTGCTGTGAAGTGCAGCATAAACTCCTATTACTGTCTGGAGTGTGTCTTTAAAAACCTGCTTATCTAAACAGCAAAGTTGTCCAAGGATACCGTTTCAATGATATTTGGTCTATAAAGTGTTGTGTGCGTGCCATAAGAGACAAGGCAGTAAGTCTTACATGTAAATGTAAATCTTACATGGGCTACATGATTAGTAAATCTTACATGGGCTTGCAGTATTTCAGTATTGCAATCCTTTGCATTTAAAACTTCCAAATTTGTAACAGCATTCAATGCTGGCTTTACAAAAATCTCATTCTTTAGATAGTTTTATGTCTTTTTTTTTTTCTTTTTTTCAAAGAAAGAAAAATAATAAATCAATATAAATATATGTACTTCGTAGTCTTAACCAACAGGTCTTTGCACCCATGGTATTGAAGAGAGCTCGGCAACATGTGTAGGCTGTGTCACTTTGCAACAGTGGGGAGGAACCAGGCAGTGTGGGGGTGTTTTCTCCTGCTGCAGAGCCGCAGCTGTCTTCCAAAGCTGATGCATTACCAGGATCGGTCCCTCCGAGACTGTGAGTGCTCAGTGTTGTCATGGAGCCAGCATTAAAGCTACTCTAAACATGATGTATCTAAAGCCTGGAGAAACCTTTGACTCCACACTGCAGGGAAAGATGAAAGCTCAGTATGCTTTAGGAAAATATTATAGAAAGGAGATTTTATTTAGATCCTAACTAAAGGAAGACATGAGTAGAACATCCACATTGCTGTGCAAGAGGAGGCTGTACTGGGTCTAGCTGGGATGTTAACTTTCCCTGCAGCAGCCCATACAGTGCTGTGCTCTGCACTTGCAGCTAGAACAGCAGTGGTATCACACCAGTGTTGTGCCTGCTGCTGAGCAGTGCCAGCACAATATCGGGACTCTCTCTAACCCTCTTAGGGGGTAAGCAAAGAAGTGAGGAAGGAACATCACCAGGGCAGCTGACCTAAACCAACAAAATGGATATTCCGTACCATGTGATGTCACACTCAGCAAAAAAAGGTGGAAACAGGAAGAAGAGGGGAGGGGTGGGCTCTTGCTGTGAACACGTTGGTCCTCCTCCTGAACACCGGCTATGTGTGTTGAGGCCCTGCTTCAAGGACGTGGTCAAGCATTGCTCATTTGTGGGAAGTAAAGAGTAATTTCTTTCCTCTGCACTTCCACATAGCCTTTATTTGTTTTGATTTTTTTTTTCCCCTCCCTTTTCCCCCTTCCCTTTTTTTCCTTTAGTTAAATTGTTTAGTTAATAGTAATCTTTCCTTAATAATAATAATAATAGCTATTATTATTATTCCCTTTAATTAAATTATCCTTATCTCAACCCGTGAGTTGTTCTTTGCTTTACTTCTTCCCCTCCTCATCTAAGGAGGGGGATTGAGAGAGCAGTTGTGGGGTTTGGATGCCCAGCATGGTAAAACCACCACAGAGGCCCACAGAAGATATTCAGGAGGGAAAACAAAACTGACCAGGAGTCACTTACCTATATTACACAGTGCAGAAGATACCACCCTAGGCAATGCAGGAGTTGTCCACGTGTTCTCAGGTAGTCCCAGACAGGGGTAGGGCTCTAGCTGGATCCTGTTTATCTCCCTCTGACTTGAGGATTTGTGCAGGTGTTGAGAGGATCATAACAATGTTGTCTCCATCACTATAGCAAGCTGAAAACAAATTATCCATACTCTGCCCCCTCTTCTGCCCAAACAGCCCAAGGAGATGGCTTCAGACACAGCTGCTGTACCTACCCCAGGCCTGTTAGATCTTCTGTATCTGACCACAATCACCAGGTTAAACTTTAGATGCCTTTAGGGAGAAGTTTAATTGTAACTATTCTACTATACACAGAGACAAACCCTTGGATGATGTTTTCTGACCAAACTGAAAAAAAAAAATACTCAAAAGATTTTGACCAGGTTAGCTTCCTCTAAAAATTAAAACATTTTTATTACATTTAATTTAATACATGTAATAATTTAAAATTAAAACCTTTTAATTACATTTAAAGAACTAGTCATGTCAGAATTGACTATGTAATGGTGAAATTTTAAGAGTGATTAGTTTGATGGGTTAGAAAACTTATTTGAATGGAGGGGGTGATTGTGAAGGCTGTATGATTTTTTTTCAAGATGTTGATATAAGAGGCTAGATAGCTGCCTTTACAGCCAAAATATGGACTTTGGTAAGCCAAAATCTGGACTTTCATAGAAGCTTTCAAAGTCCCTTCGTGATTCTCAGACAAAATATCATTTCTCTTTTGCTCCAGATTCATTTTAGAGGAATGAAGGTTTCTTGAGGGGACAAAGGGTCTCAGAGGAACAAAGAAGAGATTTATTCATCAATTGTCCAAGCAAGACTCAAGGCATTTTAAAAACATATATATACACCTCTCCTTATCTTCTGCTTTCTGGCTCTTATAAAAGGAGTCTGCCACTGTTCAGAGAATATGGACTATGTTCCTCTGCTAGCATGATCACAGTGCATTTCATGGGAGCTCTATTGACTACTAGACTGTGAAGAATTTTGCATTTTAAGTCACAAGATCGAAGAGTTACTCATCAGGAGATCTGAATGCAATGGCTTTTCAGCCTTTCTCTTGCATCTTTGTTTTTTAGCACCAATAAAACAGTTAGAAAAAAAAAAAGGACTATAACAATGCTGATGATGACCAAGATCGAAGAGCTTCAGGCAGTACACAACACAATATCCATTAGGATAAGATGCAACTGTCACAGGGTAAGGCAGAAATACTTCTGGCAATGAATGAACAAATCTATAAAGTCTCACCTACTCACCTACTTGAAGATGAACTCAAGCTTTCCTCACATATAAAATACAGTAAGGTGAGAGGATGGGAGAGCTCCCACAGCATGCTAAGGACAGAGGTTTTTTTTTTGGTTTTTTTTTTTGGGGGGGGGGGGAGGGAGAAAGGGGAGGTTAATATAATGCCAGAGTCATGCAGAAGTAGGGGGGGTTGGAAATGGGTAAAGTTTCCAAGCACAGATCCAGAGACAGCTACTCAACACTCACACAGAAGTGGATGCTTTCTATTTCCATTCCCACTTCTCATCAGTGAACTCCTAAAGTTGCTTGGCCCAGCCATCTCCGACGCAGTGAATGCCTACCTAGAAAAGGGAAGAAAGCAAAAGAAAACAAGACAGTGAGAAACCAAAAGAAAACAAGAAACCAAAAGAAAGGAAGCAAGCAAAAGCAAGAAAGTAAAGAAAGCAAGAAAGCAAAAGACAAAGACAACAGAAAAAAAAAAAAGTGAGAATACAACAGAAAACAGAGAGAAGACAAAAGAAAGCAAGAGGACAAAAGAAAACAGAAATAAAGAAAATGAAAGAAAAAATAAAACAAGAAAATGGGAAAAAAAAGAAATAAAACAAAAGCAAGAAAACAAAAGGAAAAAATAAAAAACAAACAAGACGGTAAACAAAAGTAAACAAAACAAAAGACAAAGAAAAGACAAAAGAAAACAAAAGCAAGCAAAAGAAAGCAAGCAAGAGAAAAAGAAAGAAAACAAAAGAAAGCAAGAAAAGAAAAAACACCTTAGGTATGAATTGAAAGTGCATTAAGCAATCAGCACCCAGCCCCTCTGCCCATGCTGCCACTCTTGTTTGACACACTAATGGCTCCTCTGTTGGATTTCACTGAAAAAATCAACTTTTCAAAGGGTTGTTGAAGAAAAGCTATTGCAGGCCACTGCCATTGGGCCTGCATTGGCGGGGGGGGGAGGAGAGGGGATAGCCTTCATAAATAGTTTGGATATTTTTGTAGTCTTTTCAGAGGACAACTTCTTGAAGTCTTCCAGACCAGAAATAACCCTCAGGCTATAAGAATATCACTGCTCTTTTGCCAACTGTTTTGGCAGAAATCCGTGGACCATATATCCTAAGATCCTAAATCTGTGCAAAGCTCAGCAAAATATGTGCCAGGGAAAAACACCCTGAGACTAGAAATAGGAAGATTCTCCCAGCAAGCTTTTAATGCTCCTTGTTAGGTCCACAGATTTGTTTCAGGGTGATCCTTATAAGGAAAAAAAAGAAGAAAAGGGAAAAATTTCCCACTGAAATGAAGAAACTCGTCTCTTTTTCTACACTCATTTGGTTTCTAGTTTCACATTTAAAGGCAATTAAATTGTTTCTTCTAAATATTATAGGGTTTGCTTTATTTATCTAGTCAAATTAATGTTTGAACAACCTTCTGAAGAAAACATAAACTGATAAACTGGCAACTCATGATGTTCTGAGCAATCATTTTTGTTTTCATAGCATTAAAAACTGTGAAGGTTTCACACAACCGAGCTGTCACTGCTAGAGCTGGAGTCCAATCATTTCGGTATCAATAATACATTCATTTTTCAGAAGCAAGACTACCCTTAAAGTTTCAGGGGTATGAAACACCTATATTCTGGTGTTTGGCTCCCACCACCTGGACCCTGCACACTCTTAAGCTTTCCTCAGCCATGACACACTTGTTAGACACAACCCGTCAAGGAAAATGTGCAGACACAATGTTGAATGGTTCACAACATTAAAGGTTAGACTAGATGATCTTAGAATTTTTTTCTAACCTGAACAATTCTGTGATTCTACAATTTAGGAATCCGAGAAGATATATTATATATAAACATATCATATATTGTGAGAAAAATATTCTGACTTAGTATATAGTGCTCAGTGGAGAATTCAACACCACAGAAGGGGACCAGAGAAAAACAGTTTGTAGGGTAAGAGCTGTAAATGAAGCAGTTCATACAAATCTAAATAAAATGTGTTATTCCACCTAAAATGGAAAAATTCTGGGGAAAAGTGTAGAAGAGGAAGATACAGAGGGTGCAATCAACTTTTCCACGCTGCCCTCTTCAATGTCATCAAAGTCTGATTGTCAGCCTGACTACATCTCAGGCTGGAAAGGCTAGAGAAAGTTTAAAAAAAATCCTAATGGCCACACAGTATTGAGTGGAAACTACAAGGGAGTTGCTTTGGGGCAGCAGGCTAGCTTTAAACAGGCTTGGAAGCCTGAGCAAGGCAAACTCCTGTCATTTGCAGAGTCAGGATTTCAGTCTCACCTGCATGTTCTTTACAAGCCATTAAAAAATATCACTGTGATTTTTCTTCCCCACAAGAATAATCCACCTCACTCCCAGCATTAGGTTGGTCCTTAAAAGTTGCAGTAACATCAGCTCTGTACCCTTAGCTTTAACCGTGACATTAGAGCAGAGAGCGTTAATGCATGTGAACATTAGATGGTACATTAGAGAGAACAGCATTTAAAAGAATAAGGCTGTGCCAGTGTTACTCCAAGGATTTTACTGAAGCCTCCATCTCACTGCAAACTCAGGGGAAAAATAATCTGCAAAGCTGCACACAGATCTCCTATTTGAAATGGCTGCTCAGAAGGAAGCACTGGCCAAAGAAAAGCACAGCCAACAGCATTAAGCCTTTATAAATCCATCCCATTTGAGATGGCACTATTTATTGGTTATTTAAAAGCACAGTACATTCACGAAGCATGTAGCATGGTTCTTTGAAACAAATATTCGGATACTAAATATCATAATTTTTAACTATTCAGGTGTGACAGAAATGCATTGCACATCTCTTTTCTTAGACATGGCTTTCACAAAGTTTTGTGAACCTATAAAACGCTCAAAAAATTCAGAGTTATATTTCTCTATAGCCTTGCTGCTCTGGCACTGCAACCATTTAAATAGTTGTAGTCTTTTTCTGCACCAAGCCTTAAAGTTCCTAAGAGAATCTTGCACTCTTCCACCAGTGCCTGCATGATTCAGAGACCTGAATTCAGCTGTCCACACTCAGAAAACTATTTAGAAAGTGCAAGTAATAATCAAGAGGAAGAAAAAGATGGAAGGAAGTACTGTGAGCAGTCACTTGATCCCCAGTCACCCTCTTCTGTTAAATATTTTCACAGGAGGAGGAAAAATTGTTTATCAGCTGCAAGAGGAAATCACTGATCACAGCAAGATGCAGGTTCGGTCTGCCCTTTCTCTTCAGCCTGCTGGCATTTTCTCCCCCTTGACAGAGAATTCAGAAGCCATTTACTCATGGATAATAAATTAATAAAGATTCCTTTGTCCTTATCGGCTTTTCTGAATGATTGCAGAACCTGTAAACTCAGTAGTAACATAAAACTGCAGGAGTTGCAGATTTACCAAGGTATTTTATGGAATTTATTCCGAAACAAAAACCTATCAGCAGTTCCAGGATTTGTGTGAAAATAACTCAGCAAAAGTACCTGAGGAACTGCACATTCGTTGTACAAAATGAACACGGGGCATCTGGAACAAGCACAACTAACAGACCTACACAAATAATTCTGTATAGCAGCTTCCAATATAATTCAGTTCATGCGCAGAAATGAAGACACCAAGGGGAAGTCATAACAAAAAACCCAAGTAGGGAGGCCCAAGCAGAAAGCCTCAGAATGACACGCGAGATGGAAACCACAAAGCATACACAGAAGGTAGAAAATAATCTCTGATATTGCTAAATTTTTACATAAAAGACAAATTATTCCTGCTTTTGTCACACCCCAGAGGTAGTTTCTGCTCAACAAATACTTGATTTGAAAGACATGTGGTGTGAAACAAGAACGGGTCACTGAGAAACAGGTTTGTGGTGGCCTTTGTGGCTCTTCTCTGGCACCTGCATGCATGGAGTCTGCACCCGAAGCAGAGCTCAGTGTCTAGTTCTCTGTTCTTACAGTACCTCGTGCAGGAGGCAGGATCTGTTTTTCACTTGGACTGGGCTTTCTTGTACTCTGACAGAGCTCCATACTGCTGTTCTGCAATGGCAATGCTGAATGTGGGTGTCTGGTTCTCGGAGGCCTGTAGGAAGTGACTCAGTAAGCACTGATGAAACAGGAGCTCTACATCCCAAAGAGAGGCTGCAAAATATTTTAGATTTTATTTTTAAATATTTATTTTTCTGAAATGAGCAGAGCTGGAAAAGACCATCTAAGTAACAAGGAATGGTGACTGAAGTTTCACAACTCAGAAATTTAAGCTTAAAAAAAAAAAAAAAAAAAAAAAAAAAGGATTCTCAAGGAAAAAAGATAATCCAGTGTAGTAAAACTTTCATACAGCATCACCTTATTTATGGGATCTCCTGTCTGAAACATGAAACACATCGAGAAAGTGACCGAGTATACTTCATTCTATCACTTGTATTAATGTCCCTGTCTTTCTGAATGTCGTGGGGTTATCCTTTCAGACACACAAGATGCTTCTCACATTTAAATGCAGCACCATACCAGTCCATGTCAGGCCAGGCTCCAATCCCAGCATGTGCGCTATATTCCTTTAATTTTTGGTGTTTCCTTGGGTGGCTTTGATTTAACCTCCGAAGGGTTGCAGAAGGCAATCATAAGGTAGGGACAGGCTGCTTCAGCCCTTCCAGCTCCTAACAGGAGCAGGTAAGCAGATGCAGACTGTGGCATGATGGCTGCTGCAAGGATGGGGCCATCCTCCTCACACAGGGGGTTGATTGGGGTTGTGTCTGAAGACAGTAATGAAACAGATTTGGCCTTATTAATAGACTTCTGAGCACTAAAGTTTTCTGAAATTCATCTCTCTGCTTCAGGTTCTGGCAGGGAAGATACCAGCTTGCTTGAAACAGTAAAATATTTACAGCAGCATGTACCTTCAAAAAAAAAAATTTGGACAAATAATGCTGTTTGTTTCTTACTTTCAAGGCACGTTTAAGGTATTTTTTGTCAGTCAGGGAATACAACAAGCGTCTACTACTCTGAGAGATCAAGAGTATATTTTATTTCTACAAAGAATCTGTTATTCCCTCTTTTCTTCCTGATTTAAATACACATGCTCAAAGATATAACCTATAACCTATATATATATTTATTACTTGCAGACCTTTAGAGATTTTTTCTTATGTGTGTTACCCTTCCCATTTGGCCAACCTATGTGGCATACCACACAGATCAATGCAAAAAATTCTTCCCTCATTTCTTTTATTATATTTAATATATATATTGAGAGAGAGAGAAAATGAATTTTCCTATTTTCCTCTTGATTTTGTATCCAGATCATCTCCACTTGAAAAGACTATCCTTCTAAAGCTTGTAAGTGTAGACATAAACT